CTCTCTCTCTCTCTCTCTCTCTCTCTCTCTCTCTCTCTCTCTCTCTTCTAGCACTGATGATGTTCCCTAGTTGACTCACCCGTCCTGGAAGAAGGCGTTGATGATCCGGTCTCCAATAGGGTTCACGGCCAACTCGCCAATCCCTTCCAAATCGTATCGGCTATCAAGAGCAAAAGAGAAAAAAATGTTACAGCAACCGCTTTTAAACCAGGGTTGTCCAGTCTTGGCCAATAAGACCTGTGGACTTCAACTCCCCAAATTCCCCAGCCAGCTTTGGAATTCTGGGAATTGGAAGTCCACAACTCTGCAAGCAAAGCTGGCCGGGGAATTCTGGGAGTTGAAGTCCACAGGTCTTAAAATGGCCACGGTTGGACACTCCTGGCTTAAGCTGTAGATTCACATCAGAATTAGTTGCATTTTCTAACATGTTCGGCTGTTTTGCTCGGATGTGCTCCAGGGTGGTGTGAATGAGAGGAAAACAGGGCGGGAACTGGACACACCAATAATCAAATGCAGATGCCAGTCTGTCCTAATAAAATAAAGCTGGACAAAGTCTCCTGCTTCCAAAACAAAGAGGTATTTTGAGATGCTTATTATCTAAATATCGGCTCCTTTGGTTCCGCTTTCTTCTGGAACCTGCTGTTTCCCTGCTGATGACTACCTGTTGCGCAGGCTTTGTTTGCAACCAGGGTGGCAGAGTTGTTTTTGGAAAAAAAACCTTCCCAGGGCCCTCAATTTATAGAGCAAGACAAATAAGGCAGGATGGAAAAGGGGACAAAATCCCCCGTAAAAAAGAGAAGTTGCGGAGTGGCCTTTTAAGGGGACAACCTTGGCAACCATTAGCCTGGTGCTGCGTCTTGTTAAAGAAATAAAAACAGCACCATCAGGTAAGAATTATGATGAGTAATCCTCGACCAAAATTGACTAAAAAAATTTCTGTTGCTAAGCGAGGCCGTTGTTAAGTGAGTTTTGCCCCATTTTACCAGAGTTGTTAAGCAAATCCCTGCAGTCGCTGAGTTAGTCACACGGTCATTAAGTGAATCTGGATTCCCCATTGACTTTGCTTGTCAGAAGGTCGCAAAAGGGGATCATAAATATGAACCGTCATAAATATGAATCAGTTTCCAAGCATCCAAAATTTGATCATGTGACCATGGGGATGCTGAAATGGTCGTTAAGTGTGAAAAAACGGCCATAAGTCACTTTTTTCCTTGCTTTTTGTTCAGCCACTAAGCAAATGGTTGTAAGTCAAGCACTACCGTCTTTATATTTGTCTTATGCTCTCCTGGAGTTATTTTCATAGTTTTCATTTTCATAGTTTTCATTTTCATAGATTTGCATTATATTTTCCTGAAGTTTTTTTTTAAATTTTTTCAATTTTAATATTCCGGCTTTAAATCAGGGGAAGTGATTTCTCCCTTGTGCTCTTTTTCTGTTATTTTTCTAAGATGGTTTTCACCAACTTTTTAAAGGGTGCCACTTGCTTTCTCCATTTTTGAAAAGGGTTAAAAAAAAACAAAAAACCGTTGCCCAAGAGAAATTTGGTTTTTCACATTCATTGGTTTATCCTTCTGGCTTCCTTGCCTGCAATTTTAACGCGGTCACCTGTCGCACATCATAACCCATGTTTGGAAGGTGGCTTGTTTGAAACTAATCCTAAGAAATAACCAGCTGCACATTTCAAGTCGATGCAAAGTGATATGATGGTTAGGAAACCCCGACCTTGCAGGGATTAAAAAAAAAGTTTAAGCTTTGAAGTTGTGCCTTCTCCCCCCCCCCCCGCTCCCACCTCCCCTTCCCACTTACTTCAGGTAGCCCTTGTCGTCCCTGTCCAAGGCCTGGAAGCGCTGGTAGAGGCGGGCAAGGCTGGCTTTGGAAACTGGGCAAGAAAGAAGAGGGGATTTCGGGATTCATCGCAGGAGGTTCCCGGAGGAAAGCAGCCACTTTGCAGCCCCAAGGCTTGATTTGGGATGGGGGGCGGGGAGGGGGGCTTGGTCTGCAAGGCAGGAAGGGGGCCAGCCTGGCTGGATTCAGAGCGGGGAGGGGTATTTGTCCTCTGCATTTCGGGGGGGGGGGGGGGGG